TGATCAGGGGACTGGAGCACCTCCCGTATGAAGACAGGCTGAGAAAGTTGGGGGCTGTTCAGCCTGGAGAAGAGAAGGCTGCGTGGAGACCTCAGAGCACCCTGAAGGGGGCCTTGTAAGGATGCTGGAGAGGGACTCTTCATTAGGGACTGTAGTGATAGGACAAGGGGTAATGGGTTCAAACTTGAACAGGGGAAGTTTAGATTGGATATAAGAAGGAAATTCTTTACTGTGAGGGTGGTGAGGCACTATATGGGTTGCCCAGGGAAGCTGTGAATGCTCCATCCCTGGTGCTGCTCAAGGCCAAGTAGGACAGAGCCTTGGGTAACATGGTTTAGTGTGAGGTGTCCCTGCCCATGGCAGGGGGGGTGGAACTGGATGACCTTAAGGTCCTTTCCAACCCTAATTATTCTGTGATTCTATGATTCTATAATGTGGAACATTACACAAAATGTTCTTCCTCAGTCCCTGGTTATTCATTGTCAGCATTTCCTGTCTCGTCTGTACTACGCTGAACACATTTTCCCCTGAGTTTTCCCCTGATTTTGCTCACTGGTAGGACCAGAGAGTCGCTGGTTTGTTATTTATGAATCATGACTATCTGGAGATAAATCTTGGACCATAGTTTCACACTTTGTGACCAAGTTGCTTTTGATTTTCAAGTAGATGTGCATGAATCATCAGTGATGTTTGTATGGAAGGATTAATCAAGGGCAGTGCAAAGAGTATTATGCCAGAATTTTTCACCATCATCCTGGAGCCATACTTTGGAGCAAGCTGATCAGTCATCTTGCCTGCTTGGCATCACACACAAGCCTAAGCAGGGAGGTGAGGAATAACTTACTTGTTTGGTACTGGAAGGAGAATTATTGGTGGTAAAATGTACATGGGCATGTTGGATTGCTTAGGATAACTCAGATGCTGGAAAGACAACCCCAAATGATTGCTCCTCATTGCTTGCTTCTTAGTTTATTTTATATTCCCCATGCTAATATGTCCTTGTCCACAGCTTCATAAGGGCACCAGTGTCAGCCAGTATGAGGGTCTGTTTCTAAAATAGGAAGAAATACATGTGTTTATCCCTATAAATAGCACTTGGATGACTTCCCACACCACACATCTGAGGTTTTTGAGCACTTACTGAGTTCTTTAATCGCTATAAAATTGTTTGTAAAATTAACCCCAATGCCTCTTGTATTACAGGCTGTACACTGACCATGCAAATGGGTGATCTAGCCTCTAGTATCACCCCCAATATGTAATGAGAGCTTGCAGGGTATTTCTCTGCCTGATGAGGAGAAGCTATTTCTGGTATTCCTCTTGTAATCTCATTGATGGCTTCTAGAAATGACTCCTGGCAATATCTTTCTTTTGTACATCCACCTCTGTTTTTCTTATCTGAATCCCATTCTTTTTAAGGCAGGACTGGGAATAGAAGGTTAAAGGAAAATCTGTTGCTGATTCGATAAGGTTGCTAAATAATCCTGAAAAGCTTTTACTTGGAGGAACTGCGAGAAAATGATGACAACCAAGAGCTGCTGAAGCTCCCCCAGGACAACGCAGGATTCTTTCACATTGAAGACAGAGGGGTTATTTTTGTCTTTCTGCATATCTGAAGAAAAGCAGCAGAACCTCTGATAGTGAGGTCATTTTTTTCACACAGAAATGTCCCAGCAGATGGAAATGAAGTCGGTGGGATTTTGATTCTGTAAGAATTAAATAAAAGCTTATTATGGACTTTGGAACATGGCCCAGTTGCTGGAAGTCCAACAAGATTTCCTCCAGCCATAAATTGCATGATAGGGTAGTTTACTGGGGCTTTCCCATCCCTTACTGCAAAGCCAGTAACATTAGAACATTAAAGTAAGTAACATTAAAATTTCAGTCTCTCCCTGAACTCTGGTTTTAAGGGAAAAATGCCTATTCTTTGGCTCTCAACCTCTCCCTATGCCAGGATGCCCTGGTGTTCCCCTTCTGCGTGCCACCTCCTCTGTCCTAGGGAGCTTGCTCACTTCTCACTTGCTTTCTGATGTAAGTCCTCAGAGATTTGCCTCCTGGAGGAACATCCTTGGGTCCCCATATGCAGGAGGTTCAACCCCATCATGACCAAGCTAGGACCACTGTGCTCTCAGGCAGGGGCTGGTTTGGAAGGATATCCCTGCCCATGACCTGTAATAGCAACTAACACGTCTCAAGCTCTCCCTAGCAAGGGAAAAGCTGTGCCCAAAGAGGCTGTTTTCTGCCCTGTGCCCAGCTCCCAGCAGTATGGATACCTTCCTGCATGACGCTAACTTTCCTCATGTATCAGCCTTCCCGGCAAACACACCTGCAATAAACTCAGATACCCCAGACGTGTAGATACTCAGGCCGTACAGAGGAGCAGGGGAAGAGCTGGATGCCTGCAGGAAAAGGATTGAAAGGCTCTGGAGAGGCTGAGGCTTTTGCAGGGGTTCATGTCTCTCTGCTCCCCTCCAGCAGGGTTATAGCCCTGCAGCTCTGTGCTGCTCAGTGGTTTGCGCCTACCTTTTGCTGCCACGAGTGTGTATAAATCACAGCAGCCCTAACTTGTGCTCTTGTACCTTTGCCAAGGTAATTAGCACAGTGCACATTTTAAGAGAGTTATTTCTCTCTCTGGAGCAGCCTGCCAGTGCCTGGGCATGCACAGCGCTGTCTGCTCGCCGTAAAGTGCTTTATCAGAGCAGTTTGGGTTTGTTTAAATAAAGTGCTGAGGAAGGCAAGGAATTAATGAAGGGCTGTCAGGCTTCTCATACAGAGCCCCTTGAGTTCCCCAGGGAAGAGGTTCAGGCTCCCAGTGCCTTTGGAGGAGCTGTTTTCCTCCATCCCTGGCATCTCTACCCCAGTGGCCATTCAGCTGCAGTGCTGTCAACTCCAGCATTTCCAAACCCCTCAGTAAAGCACCCAAAATCTTGAGGGTTGTGACAAAAGAGGAGGAAGGTGAAAACCAGTTTGTGCATTCCCCCACAAGACTGTAGGGCTGATACTCATTACATTGAAGCAAGTTTCTTTATAGCTACCTACAGAGCTGAATCCTGGTTGTGGATCCAGTATCTTCATTAAGTTTCCAGATTTTTCCTTCATTATCCAGATGTATAGTGGCTTTTTGCTTAAATGCACCATTTTTAATGGACCTTCTTATACGCCACTTCCACCACCGGGCTTCACGTAGGAGTTGCTGCATTGAGCCCCATACACAAGCTTGTGCCCATTAAGCAGGCATGCAGCCCTGCTCTGAATGTAAATGGTTGTCTGGCATGAGGTTATCTTACTTTATTTTGATCATGGCAGTCATCCAGTGTGACACAAACGAGGACTGGCTCATCTGCTTTGCAAGAAAAAGAGACATTTCTGATTCACTTGAATCACAGAGTTTCATTATAATGGTGCAGATTTCAGTAGAGGTCTTCCAGGTCAATATGGACCAGATGCAGATCAACATCTCCGTATTTAAATTATTTATCAAGCACACTGGCTCTTCAGGGCTAACAAAACATTGCTCCTTTCACCCTCAAGTGTTGAGTTGGTTCAAGTAACCTCCAGGGCAGCCAGCTGGCTTTGGGTTATAAATAACTTAAGTATTTCATTTCTTACAGTTCTCCCCCCATGCTCTGTTGTTGCTACAGTGTAGTTTTTCAGCTAGATCTTCAGTCTGTTTATAATGGCTGGCTCTCTCCACTGAAATGCTTTGTTGAGGTTGATTAATTCAGGGTTTAAGAAAACTATAGGGGAAAATCATTTCAGTATCAGTGCAGTATGTGAAAGAATGATTTGCACCATGGATTAGAGATAAGAGAAAAAAATGCATCATCTCTATATGAGACAATAGGGGCAGAAAGGCCTGTTAACTGTGAGCAAGATGGGTTTGCTAAAACCTTGAACAAGCCTCAGAGGTAAATCTGGCACTTAACCAAGGTTGGTATTAAAGTTTGAGGAAGGGGTATCTTTGCTGGCATGTCTGTACAGAGGGGGCGTGAAGCATCAGCTGGACATGAGGGATCTCCAACACATGTGTTTTATGGCTGATTTTCCCATGACTGGAGGAGCCCTATATTGTCCCAGTGACTATCCTGCTGTCTGCAGTACTGGGAGGATGCATCCTGAGTATTTTAGCTCAAACTTGGCAAATTTTCAATGTCCTGCTTGTCCTGGGGTAGGTGTCCTGAGAAATCTGACTATAAATGCTGAAAACCAGGACAGGACTGGGGTTAGCCACAGGCAAGATAGGCAAATAGGTGTGGGCAACAAAATCACTTGCAGACGTGAGAAAGGGAGAGGCTCTCCATGTACTTCTGCAGCAGCAGAAGCAGCAGGTCCATGTGCAGCCCATGAAGGCTCTTCTGCAGAGGTGGAGTGACTCCCAGACATCATCCTCATTGTCCCTGGGGATGCAGAGCCCAGCAAAACCTGCAGATGTAGCCTGCCCTTTGTCTGATAGCTCTATGTGGCTCCTTGTCCTGCTTTTCACCAGCTATTCCTTCCCAAGAAGTCCATGCGTTGTCCAGTGGCTCCCCAGTTGCCCAGCAAACATTCCTATACAGCTGTGGTCTCTTGCACAATGTTGAGATCATGGGTTGTGCTCCAAGCCAGCCTGATGCCACTGGTGCCCTGTGGGTGTAGCTCATGAAAGCTCCTCTTACCACATGTATAGGAGAGGACGGAAGGGCTCCTGACTGTGTAAAATAGCTCCTCTGACTAAACACCGAAAAGCATGCAGAGGCAGGCCAGGATATCTGCATGTCAGTGTAGGATCAACAGCACCAGGTTACCATGCAGAATTCCAATTTGTGCAGGATAGGGCCACTCTTCAGAAGTGGGTTTACACATCCCTGAACAAAACTCTGTCATGGTAGAGCCTGCCTGCTTGAAAACTTATTGGGACAAGTCTTAAACAAGAACTTCTCCTTCTTCTCCCTCCCCCTTTCTCACATTCTGGGCAGAGACAGGTCCAAGGGTCACATCTCTCTTTTCTTGTCCTCCATTAGGCTCTGTGGGTATCCCCCTTTCTACGACGAAAATGACTCCAAGCTCTTTGAGCAGATCCTTAAGGCGGAGTATGAGTTTGACTCTCCGTATTGGGATGACATCTCTGAGTCTGGTAAGAAGCTACTGCTCATGTAATTGCAACAGCCATGCATGCATGTGTGCCTGTTGCAGATATCCTCCTCTGGGTGTGAGAATGCACCATCCACCATCTGTGGAGCTTCTTTTAACTGAAAACTGTTGGGAATGTACATTTCTTTCAGCTGAAATAGTTTTGCAGGAGAACAAATTAAGTACCATTTTGTCCAGCCCCACACAAAGCACTAAACATAGCTGGAATAGAAGATGGAGATAGCAGGAGACTGCCAAGAAGACAAAGCAGATTAATTTCTTCATCATATCCAAATAAAAACCAGGAGGTTTATGTGTCAATAATAAGGTGGCAAACTGGTTTGGATCTGTCACTGATGCTGCACTGCAGGTCCAAAGCAAGTTTGCAGTGTATACAGCAAAGAACCCAAGAAATTAATGGCTTCCAAATGAAGCAGGTAAGCACATTCAGAAACTGGGGTTGCTGTCTGCGTGGTTGGATCCAGATAGTTGCCCATGTGCTTGCCAAGTGCAGAAGACATGTAGCCAATACCTTAAAGGAGCCAACAAGAAATCTGGAGAGGGACATTTTACAAGGGCCTATAGGGATAGGACAAGGGCAAAGGTTTTAAACTGACAGAGGGTAGGTTTAGATTAGACATTAGGAAGAAATTCTTAACAATGAGGGTGCTGAGGCTCTGGCACAGGGTGCCCAGAGGAGCTGTGGCTGCCCCATCCCTGGCAGTGTTCAAGGACAGGTTGGACAGGGCTTGGAGCAACCTGCTCTAGCAGAAGGTGTCCCTGTCTGTGGCAGGGGGTGGAACTGGGTGAGCTTTAAGGTCCCTTCCAACACAAACCATTCTATGATTCTATGAACCCATAGTGCCCGCCTGCCCTGGCTCTAGTCTGTCAGAGAGGCAGATACACCAACCTGTTACAGGCAAATATGCCTATACAAGCTTCTGGCTCCAGCATGGCTCATTGTCTACCAGCATCGCTGTCTGTATGTGGCATCAGGGACATGTTCAGCATTGCACCCTGCATGTGCCACTGACGTGGTGTGTGGTCTCCAAGAGGTCACACAAGCTCAGTGTCCTTGCTTTGTCCAACCCGTGGGAATGTCTGTCATTTCATGCAGAAGAAATGAATTCTAGGAATATTTTATCATATAGAAATAACCCTAAAAATGCAGTTTTCTGATGCATTAATACTACTGATTAAAGCAGGGGAGATATAAAAAGAAGTGTTTCATTTTGAAGATTATATATCCTGTTATCTCAGCATAGAACAACTTTTCATGCTGCTTGCATCTGTTGTCCAGATATCGCTGTGATGGATTGCCTAAAATTATATGTGATGAGAAGTGTTTTTAAGCCCATAAGGGATTTCAGAGAAAGTATGAAGGTCTGCTGGCAGACCCCTTTGCATATTGGGGCAAAGTCCATCACCTTAATCAGCACAAAGATTTTCCTCCCATATTTGGCTTTGCTGTGGCTCTTTCAGGAGCTCTCTCCTGAAACTACTGGATGCATGCCATGCTGCAATCTCCCTTCCTTCCATTAGAGTGTCGATTAAAAGCACACTACCTCATGCTCAAGGGAGTCCGTTTTCCTCAGTAACTTGTTTTTAAATCTGCCACATGTCCTTGAAGCTGCCAATGCATGTGATAGCTTGGAGTGAGCAATGAGAAGTGCCTCTTATTGTGGTGTTCTCCTTGCCTTTCCCACTCTTTATCAGCATCTCCAACAGCTGTGGCCATATTCAGACCACAGAGTTGGTCAGAGGCAGTTGGCTGACCAGGGAGCTGGCAGGCTTGTACTCTGCTGACTCTGTATTATCCATCCCACTCCTAAATATACCTGCAGGCATAGATGCCTTCAGGTTTCATCTGCCATACTAAATAGCCTGGATTTTGTCCTAAGTCACTTCAGTTATATCTATGCTAATAAATGACAAATGACTCAGGGCTATTCCTGGTGCTGTGGCCAGATGGCAGTTGGTAGCCTGATCAGTGCTGTTGGCTGGTCATATGGCAGCAGAACTGGGCACCAAACCTACTGCTTTAAATGATTCTGTTTTTTTTACAGCTAAAGACTTCATTCGAAATTTGATGGAGAAGGACCCTAATAAAAGATACACCTGTGAGCAAGCAGCACGGCACCCTTGGTAAGCTATAGTCTGCTGTGTGAAACCCTTCAGAGCAGAGAGCATCATTCTACATTCATGGGTGGAAGTGACGTCTGTCTCGTAGTATGCTAACCTCTACTAAATAACACTGGGTTTTTATTCTTACAACCCCCACTTTTGTCCTCCAGATTTTCCTGGAAAACCATGATGGATTTTAACCTCAAGCACCAACCTGTTGAGTCTCTGTACCACAATTCAGTGAAATGCTGAATTATGTATGTTGACTATAGTGGAGCAGCGGGATATGCCAAAATGGTTGAACCGAGAAATCATATTGTGGGGCAAAAGGTCAAAGTCTGCAGATGTGCAGCAAGCTGGGTATCAACCTGCTCCTGAGGTCCTTGCTAAAGTAGTATCAGAGCACTTAAGAGCACCCCATGAAGTAGAAAGTCCTCATCTGTGCTTCACAGGTGATAGTACACCTCCTCCTTGCAGCAGGGGGCTGATTTCACATGCTGTTATTCTCTCTTGTCGAATGGGGGAGATAGGAAACCCTAAAGGGGGGATAAACTGAGGCTGAATTGAATATAGCAATGTTATCTCTCTGCAGGGACTACAGAAAAGTACGTGGTCTGACTGTATTTGTAATTTAGACCTTAGCTAAGTGCTTTAAATCAGATGGTGCCTTTGCACGTGGATGACTTCACCAAAGTTACCCAAGGATTATGTAGCTGAAGGAAGAGTGGCTCATGTACTTTTGACCAACCCTGAGTGACAAGAGTATCACCCCACACTACCAGCTGCACCTGCAAATGGGCTCTAGATGTAAGCCTTTTAGAGAGGGATCATTATATATGAAGCTTGATATTATTTTGGTTGTTATAATAGTGGCAACAGAAAGGAATCAATGGCACGACATTTTCACCCCAGGTGCACATTAGACTGTGTTTTTATGTTATCACAGTTACCACAAATACCATTTCCTTTCTGCAGCTTCTGGAGCACTGGCTGGATAAAACCATTAGGCTGTGCATTTTCAGGGCAACAGGTTTTCTTTAGTGTCCATAGCCTCTCAGAAAAGCAACTGGACCAGAGTCATAACTAGCTCTACAGCCTGATGGACCTCAAAACCATCTTCGTGATGCAATTTGAGCACAGAGATAAGCCTCAAGTAGTGTAGTTGAGTATAAAGTGCATGGTAAGAAAAGCGCAGGCATAGAAATTGTCAGTGTGTTCTAAGATAGCACTGCTTTCTGCTGGGATATGGAGACATTTGTTTGGAGGATGGAGTCTGCATCCCTTTGAGTCTGGGGAGATATATCAGCAGGGCTCTTGTCATTTCTGCCTCCTTAACAGACATGGGTTTTGGATACACTCCTCAACCTTTCTGTCCATGAAGGGACAGAACTTGGTACCCAGCTTAAAATTGTATTAAATTTCAAAGCAGAGTAAAACTTAATGGCTGTAGCTCTAGAACAAGTACTTAGTTGTGGTTTCAGAGGTTTATGCTTCTGTCTCTGACACTCACTGATTTGTCTTGTCTCATTGCTGTTTTCAGTCCTGGGACTAGATGTAAATCCTTTCACAGGTTTTTACCTTCTGGCTTGCTGATGAATTACCCCATCATTAATTAATGATTTGACACTCATGAAGGTGGTCAGTAAGTAATGACTACACAAGTGGTAGAAATACAGTGAAATGGCACTGATTTCTTCATAGTGGGAATGATGTACCACTGTCTGACTGCAGACTGTCACTGTGATTACAAATTAGGCTGAAGGTAAGATTTAGCCTCAGCCTTTAACAATTAAAAAGTTTTAGGAAAGGCTTGTGATGCAGAATGCAATGTAAGTCATTAAGAAAAGCAAGGTTCTTGGTTTCCATCCCCCATGCCAATGACAAGGAGAAACAAAAGAGATGTTTTTTAGCTGGCATCATTGCCTGGCATCAATACAAACGAGAGATGAGAAGTCAAGGCCTGGGCCTGCCCTTTTCCCTTGTCCCATCAATAACTCCATTGTCTGTGTGACAAAAAGGAAATTTGGGAAATGAAATCCAGGTTTCATGAGATGAAACAAAAAGAAAGCCTAACCCCAACAACTGAAGACATTTCTATATGATACTGACCTGAGCCTCAGGAAATTAAACAAGTTACAACAGTCAGTATTAGAAATACAGAATAAACAATGGGAATGCAACTCCCAGCAGAGAATGAGGTGACCATTTGTAGAACTCAGAGGCAGATTTTCCAAAGCCTTACATCCAAGATACACAAAACATTAAGCATCCAGCTCTTGGCCCCACTACATCTGTGTTGGTTGCTGGAGTGCAACAAAGAAACGTGGCACTTGTGACACACACAGCTTCTGGGCCCTCCTAAAGGAACAAAATGATAAAAAGTATTTTCATTCCCCTTTTTTTCTTTTCATTTGCATTTCATGGCCAGGAGCCAATGGAAACTCACAGACTGCTCCATAATTCTTTATATTTTCTACAAAATCAAATCTTCCATTTAAAAACAACTCACCCAAAAAGGGGTTTACCCCATTTCTGTGGCAGGGGATTGTTTTCTGCCGGGCTGACTTTGCAAGGCAGTGGTTCACATTCGGGGCTACCTCCCAGCCATGTAAATCACGGGTCAGCCTTTGAAGTGCCAGACATACAAATGGCACTGCAGTAGGGAGCCTTAAGATATTCATCACATCTCCAATTCATATCCCAAATCCGCCTCCCTTCAACACAGAGACAGTATGTGCCACTGGATTACAGGACAGTTGTCCAGTGAAAGCAAAGTGGAGGTTTCCAAAGATAAAGCTTCAGATCTGCCTCTGTCCTCCCTAGTATGCTCTTGAACAGAACTCAGTGTCTCATTCCCCCTTGCTCTGAAAGGCTTCCTGTAACACTAGTGTTGTAGTTATCAACATCTCTGGAGAGCGATTTTTTGGAGGGTTTGGATCCTACAGTGATAAATGCCTTTTTGGATAATCAATGCTACTCACCTGGATATTATCTGTTATTTTAGAGTTAGTGATAGGATCTCCTTTTGCCAAGCCATTGCTCAAGAAACGTTTTCTACCCAGATTGCTTATGCCAGGAAATAATGAGGTTTTTACTGCTTCTGTCTTATTCTAGCCATTATATCTGTTGCAATGACATCCTCCTGTTTGAAGGAGAGGAAGGCCTTTTTGGTAGAGGAGGAAGACAGCTCTATGCTTCTTCTCAATGGTCAGCTACAGTGTCAAGTAGCACTTAATGGCATCTCATAGAGGTGTCTGCACAAACTGGTTCTGTAGATCAAGGTAACTGGAGAAGCATCTTTGAACCCTAGAGTTTGCAGGAAGTGAAATCCTGATTCCACTGAGGTTAATGGGAGTTTTGCCACTGAGTTGGGTATTGTCTCCCCGTCTCACCAGCAGAACAGAGAACATCTACCCAAGTCATTGGTACTGTGCAAATGGTAGATAAACATAGAATAGTTTGAGTTGGAAGGGACCTTAAAGCTCATCCAGTTCCACCCCTTGCCATGGGCAGGGACACCTTCCACTAAAGCAGGTTGTTCAAGCCCCGTCCAACCTGGCCTTAAACACTGCCAGGGATGTATATGATGAACTGACTCTGTGTAGTGACATTTTCCAGCTTACCCTTTTCCTTCCTCCTGTGAAATCTGCCCCTGCAGTATCAGATCATTGGGATCAGCCACAAATTAGAAAGAAATCTATTAAATTGTAAGTACTTAACACATGCATGTTAATCACAATCTTACTGTGATAAAGTAGTTAACTGCATGACAATTTGTTGTTTCAATATGTAACATTTGTGAAAAACAAACTGATTCCAAAACATACCTCTTATTTTAATTACCATGGTTCTATTAAGACTTCCAAACAAGGCTTGCAAGAACTGGATTTTGCAAGATGTTACTTTTGTGCTTTTAAGGTTAATAATCTCTTTGAATTTTGGGAAACTGCTCTCGAATAGCCAGTTATTCACATGACGAAATGTTTGTACAGGATCAGACCCTAAAAAAAGTAAATACTTCTTCCCAATGGCCCACTTTTCTGGGCTGTATCTGCTCCCCACATGCTTGCATTTACGTGATGTTTTGCTATTTATAATCAAAAGACCTTGGCAGGGGGACGGTATGTTAAACTTGGAGTTGGCAGAAAAGGAGGCTAATAATTGCAGTGAAGTATTGTAGTGGAAACAGTACAATGTGTAAGACTTATTGGTATAATGATTACACCCCGGTCTGTACAATCTGCCCATTTATACAGATTTCTCCAGTTGAATATACAGGTGACTTATGCTTTCCATTGGAAAAGTTATTTACTTTATAGCATATCTTTCACTGACGTTTGCACTGTTTATGGTGTGTTGCAGAGGTGCAATGTTCTGACTAGCTGTTCCACTGTGACTTTTCAAAAAGGGTGTGGAAAATGAAGGTAACAAAAGAGTGGGGTAATTTTGCTGCAGCTTGATACATTTTAATGTTTCCCTAGCTTGTATTAATGGCAGCAATTAAGTTTATTAAATATATTGCCTTGTCAGAGCCCACATTCTGTTTAGGGCAGTTGCTCAGATTGCAGTGATTAAGGTCAAGCAGCAGGAAGCTGAGGACCTGTTTTTTCCATAGCTATAGGATCACACTGTGCTCCCTGTCAGGTCAAGCTGGGTTCGACAGCCCCAAATTCAGCCTCCAGGCTCAGGTCAAAGGGAGAGAAAACAGTTGGGGGGGGCGGGAAGAGAAAAGTCCAACAGTTAGGAAGCCAGTGTAGGAATTAGGTGTTCCATGAATTTGTCTCTGTCACACATTACCCAAGTGACCTTAAATGGGATTTAGAGCTGTGTGCTGAAGCTCATTATGGCATCAAAGGCAACTTGGGACATCTAAATTAAAGGGTGTTGTATGTATTGTCTCCCTGTAGACTGTAAAGGGGAAAAGGAGATTGTGGCACCTAAATTAGACACTTATGTCCGCAGGTATAAGTGTGGCCTTCGCCTCTCCCCACTGCTTGTGCAGGGCGGGGAGCAGATGCTTGGGACCTGCCGACATCCATCCCGCCTATGCCGAAGAATCACAAAGCTTTGGGAAGGACTGAGCCTCTGAAAGTTGTGACCATGACCCCGAGTGTTTATTATGTGCCAGAGAGCGTGAGCCAGATAATAATTTCCACCCAGGGAAAGGACATGGTTTACAAAGAGCTCAGTTCTCAGACTATGTTGTTTGAAGTGTGAAAAGGGCTTCCTGAAGGGAACTGCTGATGTTTACAACATTAAATCAAACTCTTATCAAGCTTGTCCCTGCACTCTATTTATTTTGGAGCATCACTGATAGAGTATGTGCGTGTGTATATTTATACGCATGCATGCGGGGTATGTGTATATATATATATGTGTGCGTGTGTATGTATAGAAGAGTTACGATCCTCCGACATCATCCATTACAGCTAACTCCATGTTTCCTGTCATCATGCTCAAGAGTATTTCCAAGTACTGTTTGGCCAGCACAACATTTGAGTTTGCTGCCTTCAGTATGAATGTTCAGAAAATAATGGTAGATGAGGGACTTTGTTGGAGGTTCCTCTCAAAGCTTAGAATTAGTATGGTAATACTAATACATTGATAAATCGCTGTGATCGCTTTGAACCCAGATAGAAAGTTATAATAAATTAGATACTATGAAATAATATTTGATCATTAGATTAGATGCCTCCCGCATGCAGGGCTAGATTTCTTACTGTTATTCATGAGAAATACTCTTCTTAGCTTCAGTGGAAGTATTTGTGACAGAGGGTTGTTAGATTGTGGCTCTTGGTATCCAATTCTGTGTGTTGAGACACATACATTTACAACTGGATGAAAAACCAGCTTCAACATGAAGTTCCCCTAACCATTGTTAAGATGTAGCTGCTTTCACATGCTGCAAAATGGGAACACCGAGAGAAAAAACATGTTCCAGTTGGGCTCATCAATCCTTGCTTGATTCTAGATGATGCTCAGCATGATAGTGAATCATGCATTATTCTGATCTGTTTAATTTTAGGTTTGTAGATGTGTGTGGTAGGTAGAAGTAGTATCTCTTACTGGCCAACTGGAATAGTTGGTAAAAGCAAGCTTCCATGCTGACAGTTATCTTCCAAGTTAAGCGGAAAGCCAGGAACTGTTGCTCAGGGTTTGACTAGATATGCATCAGTTTGATCATCTCTGAAACAGAAGGTGGTGGCTGTTTCTCAGGAAAAATGGAGCCGATTCCTGAAGGAGAAGCGTATGTTGTCCAGGGGAGGGAGTTAAAAAGAAAGTTGCTAACTTTTTTTTGCCCTAAAAGGAAAAGCAAGATGGATTATAGCCTGTGGACTTGGAGAATTAGAGAAAGGTGGAAGGGTGATTGTGATGTGCTCTAAAACCAGTATCTCTATTAAATTTCATGCATTATCTTCTCAGCATGGGAATTGGAGTTCATGATTAAATACCTTCAGTATAGATGTGATAGCGCTCATGAAACCCACCTCGAGGTAGGTTTCTGTGCCCAAAAGCTTATCTCAGTTTTCAAACTCTACCAGTCGATGTATAGAAGATACGAATTATACCTGCTCACCTCCACCTCTCTTGCCTCTGTCCTTAAAGCACCACATCTCCAGCAGAACATCAATGGCAAATGAATGTTAACATTTCTTCTGTTTTCCTAGAAGCAAAACTACACTATAAACACTATAATACTGCAAGTATTTTATGTAAGTTTCAAGATCCTTCAAGTACAGAATACAGTATAAAAGCACAGTCTTCCTGATACAACATTGCACCATTAACAGGACGGTTCTTCAAAGGTGGCTTGGAGAACAATCCCACAGCCAGCTTGGGCAGCTGGGGCTGTGCTTTAAGCCATGCTGTTTGTCATACCAGCATGTGTTTGAATGGATCCTGCTACACCAAATTAGACCCAACACTGATGTTATTTTGCTCGTATTAAAAACTAGCATCTGCAAGGTGCTAATGCTGCTGAAGAGGTATTAGATGTAGGATGGTCCCCACCACTGTAGCATCTGAGGGCTTCATGGACTGTCTGTCCATCTCGTTCTTAAGTAAACAAGTACTGTCCTGCCTATTTGGGAAACACCAAGACTTTTTTTCTGGGATTATGAGAATTGCATAGTGAACATAGAGTTAGTGGAGGAAGAAGACACTTTGTGAACCACTGGAACCAGCAGTTTCTTATAGAAACCATCAGCATTTAAAAAAATGATCCCTAAAACATCTAGCCTGTATTTGAGCTACACACCCAGTGAAAATTTTCATATAGCAAAAATGCATTTGCAAGTATGGAGACTGACAGGAAAGATCTTCTGGAAGAGCTGGCAAGGCTATCATGCCCCAAGAACTTGTTCTGTCTCTGTTTCCAAAATAGAATTTGACAAGTGGGAAACTTGATCTGTGCTTTTACATCTTGTTAACCAACTTGTTCATAAAGCCAAATGCTTCATTCCTTTGGAGGGAAAATGTTCTTTCATCTACAGATCTGTAGTATGATGGTCAGTGCTCCCAGATGGTATGTGCTGAGGGCACCTGCCTTCACTGAGGAGCTGTTCTTGGGCAGAGCATAATGTTCATGGCATTTTGGACTCGCAGTCTGCATTCCCACTGGGAAACTCTGCTAGGGCCTGTCTGCAGTGAACATGATGCTTAACCTAGATGCTGCCTCACAAGATTTTATCTGCCTTCCTCCAGTGGGAAATCCAGACCAATTTACCTTACTGTCAGAGAGGAGATCAGAAGGAATCCTTTTTGAAGCAAGAACTGAAGATCTCCCAATTTTCTGTCAAACACCCCCTAATCTCCATCAACAGCATAGGGACCCAAGAGAGAATGTCAAGCGCCATTTGGGAGCCATGCTTTGCTCATGGTACCAGTTTTTCTGTCTACTTGACATAGAGGTTATGTAGCAGTGGCAGTTAGACAAACAGTTGGAGGTGGGCTACCCTGAATGAGAAACCTTGCTCCTTCCTGCCCACAATCCTGCAGGCTCCAGTACTCTTGAATAACTCAACACTTAGCTGCAGCAGGATAGGATTAGTGGCTCTCCACTGTTGGGAGATAGCAGTTTAGTCCCTCTTCTTCCCAAGAGTAAGTAGTTCCTCTCATCTCTCTGACATCCTGGGTGAGTTTTGCCAGCAGGAAGGAGGAGAGCAATTTGAGAAGACTGGTCCCAGAGACCACTTGTTAGATGTGCCATTGACACAAAGGTAGAAAAATCTGCATGTCCTTTGAAGAACAGTGTTACAGTTTGGAATGGTCTTCACAAAATGAAAGGAATGTCTCCAATTCAGGGGACACATAAATGGAAATGGCAGGCTGTGGTATGTAAGCAAAGTTTCATCTTTGAAGAAACATAAAGCAATGCTACCATTCTGCTGCCTTAGTTGGAAAACAGCGAACAGTTTAGGTACTGCCCTCTAAGGAAGATGTGGACTAGCTGGAGAAAGTCCAGAGGAGCTCAGTAGATCAGAGGATTAGGAAATATGAGTTATGAAGAAACAGTGAAAGACTCAGTTTGTTTAGTCTAGAGAAGAGAAGACGGACAGAAGACATGATAACAGTCTTCAAATATGTGAAAGGATGCTTCAAAGACAAAGAATAAACTATTTTCCATGTCTTCTGGGAGACAGTGGGGCACTGGAATAGGTTGCCTGAGGAGTCTCCGTCTTTTGGAGATCTTCAAGGACTAGTTAGGCATATATATCTCAGAATTATTTTGACAGAGCTGGGGGGAGACAGGAAGAATGAGGTAACCACTGTGTCCCCCACATCCTCTGATTATTTTACTGGAGGTCCCCAGGCTGGGAGATTCTTAATGGATTATTCAATTTCTTATAGTTTTTTATTGCTAATGGACATTGGTTTTCTACACTGTGGATAAAAAATTGATTTCTGAAAACATCACATGCAACATAGAATGTAATCTTTATTACTGGCATCACCCAAGTTAGGTAGCATTACCCCAGCACATGGTGCAAAGTCAGTTCACTCTGATGCTTACTCTTCCAGTGGATCTCATGCCTTGAGGAGTTAAATGAAACAATAAAATTCCCTTGAAATAATCATGTTAGTGGAGATTTGAATGTGTCTTTATCTGTTAAAGAAACTATACAGTATCTGTCAATTTTTTAGGTTAAGTGTTGTTCACCTTCAGCTATTTGTGCAGCCTGTGCTGCTGCTGTAGTGACCATCCGTGTATCTGCTCTACTGTAAATCTACATCAGTCATGATGAATGGCTATGTGTATTGCAGGGTGCAGGAAAATCTCCAGTGCAAACAGAAATCGGACAGGTTGGAGTGGCTCTGGAAGCTGCTGCATGGCTGAGGCTAAAAGTAGTCCCAGCCTGTTGATGTTAAATCCTCAGATGTAAAGAAAAAAACAGGTAGAATGTTTTCATCTAGGGCTGTAATGGTGATAGAAAGCAGCCATGCACCAACAGAATAAGGTTGTACCTCTTTGTAGCTGCCAGACCTACAAGCCTTATCTACATTTGCTTTTATTGCCCCAGATTTTCCACCACTGCTGCCAGCAGAGACAGTGGTGGGAAGTTTGAGCCCTCATGTGAATGAAATCATCATCCCTGAAGGAGAAATCACACCTATGGCCGGCCTTCTCGGTTAAGGAGAAGAAAAAGAAAGAGAGCAAAATATGGCTTACAATTTGTCTGGTCTGTTCATTTCAGGATTGCTGGGGATACAGCGCTCAACAAAAACATCCATGAGTCAGTCAGCGCTCAGATCCGGAAGAACTTTGCAAAAAGCAAATGGAGAGTAAGTAACATATCCTCAGGGATGACACTTAGACACACAACTCTGCTAATGCAGCAGCCATACAACCACCCCTTCAGCATGCTAGTGTGTTTGTGGCACAAAATTTTGGTCAAAATACTCAGCCCAGACTTCAGTTGCATGGTCCTACAGGGGGTAAGAAAGATGGGGAGAGACTTTTTAGCAGGGTTTGTTGTGATAGGATGAGGGGTGATGGTTTTAAACTGAAAGAGGGGAGATTCAAATTGGACGTGAGGAAGAAATTCTTTACAATGAGGGTGATGAAACACTGGCACATGTTGCCCAGAGGGGTGATGGATGCACCATCCCTGAGAAGTTCAAGGCCAGGCTGGACATGGTTCTGGGCAACCTGATCTAGTTGAAGACGTCCATGATCATTGCAGGGGTGTTGGACTGGATGGCCTTTGAAGGTTCCTTCCAAGCTAAACTGTTCTATGATTCTATATAAAGACAATGAAATAATGGGGCTGCTAAAGCACTCATTGTTATATGTGGAGTTGGGGTCAGCACCACAGGACACATGATGCAATGCAGACCCCCCATGTGCTGGTGCAGAGCAGAATGTGTTGAATATGACTTTCCTTGTAGGAAGCAGCATCCCAACCGAGTGCTAGAAGGGACAACACAGAGAAGGACCAGAGCAGAAATGTATATGGTTTGATATTGTTGTTTCTAGCTTAGAAACTAGAAATCAAGAAAAGTTTAAAAGGTAGAATCATAGAATCACAGATTGGTTTGGGTTGGAAGGGACCTTAAAGCTCCTCCAGTTCCAACCCCTGCCACAGGCAGAGACACCTTCCACTAGAGCAGGTTGCTCCAAGCCCCTGTGTCCAACCTGGCCTTGAACACTGCCAGGGATGAGGCAGCCACAGCTTCTCTGGGCACCCTGTGCCAGAGCCTCAGCACCCTCACAGGGAAGAACTTCATAATTTCTAATCTAAATCTTCACTCTCTCAGGTTAAAGCCATTCCCCCTTGTCCTGTCCCTACATGTGCTTGTAAAAAGTCCCTCTCCAGGTTTCTTGTAGGCCCCCTTTAGGAGCTGGAAGACTGTTACAAGGTCTCCCTGGATCCTTCTCTTCTTCAGCCTGATCAAGCCCAGCTCTCAGCCTGTCTCCAGAGCAAAGCTGCGCCAGCCCTCAGAGTATCTTCATGGCCCCCTCAAACAGGTCCACATCCCTCTTGTGTTGGGGGTCCTAGAGCTGAGCACTGGGGGAAGAATAATCAGATGATGTGCTCATTCACTTCTGACAGCCATGATCAGCCGGTAGAGGAGCAGCAGCAGCCCTTCCACCTCCCATGTTGTCATCCTTTCTCTCTTGTTCTCTTCTCCCCAGCAAGCGTTTAATGCCACAGCCGTCGTGCGGCACATGAGGCGGTTACACCTCGGCAGCAGCCTGGACAGTGCCAGCACCAGCGTCTCCAGCACCCTCAGCCTCGCTGCGCCGCTTCCCGATGCAGCCACACGGAAAGATTGTGAGTACCCAACATCCCAGGAAAGCTCCCAAGGAAATTCACGGGATACCCGTTTTCCCCCTTTGACCCCCAGGCTGCAGTCCTCGCTGCCAGTTGGTTTGGCTTTGTGCAAGCAGGTGTTTAAATCAGGGCTGAAAAGGAATAGAGGCCTTCAATTTTAGCTGGCCAGAAGTTTATGCACTAAATACAAGGTTTTGGTTGCTTTCAGTTTTTAGAGAAAAACACTGTTTCTTGTGAAGAAAAAAGGTTTTCATTTGGGAAAAAGACCCAGAAAAAGAATTTCTGTATTTGGCTGAAAACTGAAAAAGTTTACTCAAACTGTTTATGGTTGAGTTTCCAGTATTATGATAAGACATTTTTCTGTAAAAATTGGCTCATTTTCCGTTTCTGTTTACTATGGAGGAGACTGATCCTGCCAGGCTGAGCCAGCCTAAGCTCCTGTACGAAGAGGCTCATTTGTCTGAGCAGGACTCAGGCTCTGTACACCACAGCGGGACTTGGCCTCCTGCCTTGTTTGTTATATGCTGTAGTTGAGATGTGCAAGCTGCCCGATGGACTCATGCTTGGGATATACACGTCTTTTCTGGATGCCAGGGAAGGAGACATAAGGGAAAATAGAAATGTGTCTTTTGCAATGAAGCCTGTATAATCTCTGGCTTTTGAGCATTTCTTTTATTTCCATCCATCTGTAGACATTTTTATATCAAAAAATGGAGTGATATGGACTTTACAATTAGAGGAGATTATTTTAAGGTTCAGCAACAAAAAGGAATCCTAATAGCTTGTGGAGTTAGAAGTCAGTACTTGCTTCACTGGGGACTGAAGTGGTCATTTCTTTACTATACCCTGCACTATTCTGGAGCTGAAAGCACCTACTATTTGGAAAGGAGTTTGGATAGTGCTGCCTCTCCCCTGCCTCTTGCCAGTCTATGCTCCTTGATGAGGACATGCCACCATCTGCAGTCCCCACAGCTCTTTATGGAAGCTGTGGTTTCTTTCCTATCATGGGTACAGTTGGGGTGGGATCTACCTTCTGGGTGCTGCACAAGATGTTTTTGCCAGCCTGGGCTGTAGCTGAGCCAGAGGAAAGCCCCTTCCCTCTGCATCCTGGGCCTGATGGGGATTCATGCCCAGTGCCAAATCCTACAGCTACCGCCAGAAAATCATCACTGTGCTCTTGGCACACGTCTGGCACCTGCAAAGGGGTGATGAAGTGCTGACCAGCCACAAAGCACTTCCAAACCATGCACTGGCAATGCAGCAATGTAGAAAACCCTTTACAGAAGAGAAGCATGACTTTATTTTAGTTCCTGCTGCAGTATGGCTAAGCTGGACCCCCGTTAGATCTAGAATATCTGATGGCATGCTTTGCTGTTAGACTAGTGGGTGATTAATTTCTCTCCATTTGATTAATGTCAAATGGTGTTAATTAATAGCACTGCGTAGTATGAAGAGTAATGGAAAAACATCTGTGAACAAGAAGGGTGAGAACAGAACAGTGTGTTGAACCACTACAGAATCCAGCAGGTCTCTGTACAGAACCCAGCCATATTTTGTATTGATGGAGACATCAGCAAGCATAGAAAGGGTAAAACCAAATGTGTTAAGATAAGTTTTCTCATGTCAGAAACATGAGGCAGAAAAGTATCGAAAGATTTCCAAGCATCCCAGGTTAAGACCAGCTTGGCAGACAATATGGAAGAGCCTCCCTTCCTCAAAGTAGTCAGAGTTAGGAGATGCTGGAGCCTTAGAGAACTAGTGAGAAGAGCTAGCAGGAAATACAGGAGTGACGTTAAGAGGGAGCTGACATATCCAATGCAGTCCACCAAGTACCTCCTGTTGAGAGGATTCTGAGGTCTCTGTCCTGCCTCTTCCTTTCTCAGTGGTTTCCTCTGGGACAGATTTCTTGCACAAGATAGATCCCATGTGGCAAGTTACACAAAACAGCTGTGCCACCATTGCAAAATATAAAGCTGCCTAATGTTATTAATAGGCATTTAATAAGCTCTCCAAATCATTTCAGATGCAGTAATTTCACATCACTGAAGACAATTAAATACAGCTTTCGCCTGAGAGTAGGTTATGTCAGGCTGCATCCTCATTCTGTTCTCTGTATTAGGGCAAAGCAAAGATGATGCATTAGGCTGGATTATGCTACCTGTCAAGAAAGTCTAAGTGAATCAGTCAGGAATTCTCAAGTGTATTTGCCTTATTCTCTGCCTGTGCTTGGTTTATTCTGTTAAGACATGACTGGACTGGCTAGGTTAGTTACAGGACCTAGATCTCTGTGTTTTTAAGGTAATAGATAAATTGCAACGTGAAGCCAAGTTGTCAAATGTCAAAACTACTGGGAAGCAGGATGTTCACTAGTGTAGGTACCACATAGTCAGCCCTGAGGTTGAAATGCAACCTTGAAGCACGGAAAAGTAGTTAAAAGTCGTAACAAGTATCAAAAAATCCTAAGTAGTCAAGGGGCCATATCAAACTCCAGTCCAAGAATATATTAATGTACTTTTCATCTGCCCTTTATTCACTAGGAAAAATGAACTGTATTTCTAATCATTGTGAGCCTGCATCTTATCAGAGCAAAGTGACTGTGCCAGGTCTCCCATTCAGCAGCTTTTCATGCACCAGAGCTACCTTTGCACATCAGTGCCTTGAAGGCTGCAAACTGCATGAAGAGCTGCATGTGCTAGCAAGGTCTAAGGATCATCTCTGTGGGGTCTCCACAGCTGCTGGGAGAGGGGCAGCTCACCTGCAGAAAGCTCTAGTAATGATGTATTTTATTTCTCTTCATTAATGCTGACATGCTGGAGTAGCAGGATCTTGAATCTATCATTCAAAACCCAGCTTGCGTTGGGTTTTCAGGGGTTATGCTTTGGAGAGGTTTGGTTTTTAGAGCTGTGGTGAGGGGTCCACAGGAAGCGGACACTTTCTATGAATGTTTTATTTTTGCTAAAACCCCTTCTTTTCATAGAAAGATATCTGTAAGAAGTCTTTGATGAGTTCAAAAGGAACTGCCTGGGTAAATTATGAGTCCAGATACTCAACCTACATCAACCTACATCTCTTAGCTGGAAATCCTGGAGAACTACCAGCAAAACCTGGAGCAACATAAGCTGTCACTAGAGTAATGGCCAGATCCCACAGATTTACATTCCTTTTAGGTTTACTGGAACTCAGCGGTGAATTTCACCCACTGTACCTTTTTATCAGCAGCTTTCCACGATGCCTGGGGAACTTTCTTTAGTCCAGATGCACAGTCTGTTCGTTTAGCTAGATGGCCATGATGAGAAGTTTAACCATCTTTAGCATGCCCACAGGGAGAATTATTCTAAGCACTACAATGCCGGAGAGATTGCTGAATCCCACAACTCTTTGTCTTCAGCCCCAGAAATGTGGAATCAGTCTGGATGAACTCATACCAAAGCTGGACATGTATTCATTGCGACATGCATACAACTGCTGGTGGTGACAGTAGGCAAATGGCCATTGGGCTAGGAGGGCAGAAGATGCCCCATGGATGTACCCAGCCAAGCCACCGCTGCAGGAAAAGCAGGAGCGCCGTCTCCAGCTGCGGTTCCCTCTGCTCTGTAGCGTGCTACGAAAGAAACTCAGCTTTCCCACCTCCAACCATAACATTTCTAACTGTGTTTCTGGCTTTCCTTTTAGGTATGTCTCCATCCACTCTCTGTAGTTTTGTTTCATCTGCTTCTTCAGGCGTTTCTGCGGTAGGAGGGGACCGGAGACCCAGACCCACCACAGTGACCACAGTGCACACAGGGAGCAAGTGAGAGCTGGGGCGGCGAGGAGCAGGCAGGCAGCGGGGCTGGCAGGTTGCCCCTGCACATCCCACCCTGCGGTGCTCGCTCTGCGAAGGACTAGAAGAAAGAAGATTTTTTATGGCCATATTTTATACTGCAAATTCTGAAATGTTTCATTTATCACAAACTGCAATGACTCCAGGGGGAATGGATCTAACAGTCTCTGGTGCTGTACATATATATACATATATATATAAATATATATATATGTGAGTCTAGCGATGTTCTAACCAATGAACACTCATTCTTCTCCCCATTGATTTACTCTTTTTCTCAGTGTAGGTAACAGTATATGTTGTATTTTTTTTTCCATTAACTACAAACATCTCAACTGGATTATTTAAATAGATACTTTTCTGAGCATTATATTTTTTTTTTCTTTTAAAAAGTACTTCCAGTAATGTCCCTCCTTCCACTTTGCTGGAGGATAGGCTATTTCTGTAGGTAGGAATTGACGTTACCTTTGCAACATGGGAGTATTTCAATGGCATGCCATTTCTTGCTCCTCAAATTGGGCTGTAAGTCTGGCTTCAGCAGAGCTGTTACTGTTCAGATTAAAGAACTGCTGCTTTCCCTCCCCTCGTCCTTCTTGAAAGCCATGGTGAGAGTTAAATTGCCACCAGCTGGGAGCCAGCTCATCTTGGCCTCATTCCTGTAGTGCTGGGGATCTGCAGCACCCTTGTTTCAGCAGAGAGGCAGATACATGGTACCAGTCAGGAGCCAACCAGAGCTGAGCAAAAGAAATGAGAGAGCACAGTCTCATCCTACAGCTCCTATCTCCTCCGAGTCACTGTGAGTTATGGGCAGGGTGAAAGAAAAGGAAGATGTAAGGCCTAGAGCCATTTTCATCACCTGCCACTGACTCATTTGCCCTCCGGCAAGACATTTAATTCACCAATCTCCTGCCAGCCTGGCCTCTGGTATGGGGCACATCCAGTCCCAGGGCTCAGTGCCAGAGGTGCTGAGCACCTGCAGCTTCTCAGGGCTTTGCCTGGCATTGCTGATGCTCAGCACCTCCCAGAGAGGCCAAAACTGGGTATTGAAACCAAACAGAAAACTTTGGACCTCAATCTCTGTGTGCCTGGTTTCACCCCCAGGAGAGGGGAGATGCTTGCACCCTTCTGTGAAGCACTGGTAGGTTCTTGGATGCACAGTGCAGGATCTGGTGTAGCATTGCTCCATCACGCCTAAGGCTGTCTGAGGGCTGTCAAGGAGCACTGAGCAGGACCTCTGCCAAAAGGCTTGGGCACATGCAGGGGCAGTGGTGGCACTGCCTCCTCCTCCTCTCTTGAAGCTCATAGACAAAAGCAAGCTCAACTTCCCTGTTAATGACTAGGTACATGCACTTCCCAAGCTCCATGTGCTGGTGCATCCGTTAGGAACAGCCACTGTAACTGTCATGCAGCCATGCATTAAAGCAGCATGAAACAGAAAGGAGAGAAAAATCTGCCCAGAAAAGCTCCAGGTTACTTCTACACCATTCCCAGCTGTGATTTTCCTTTGAGGAGGAGAGAAGGGAGGCAGGCAGCAGAGGCAGGCAGCTTTCCCTGGCCACTGTGAGCCTCTTGCACCCCAAACAGGTCCATCCTGTGCCATTCCCTGCAGCATGCTCCACTGCCATGCTTGTCTCATTTATCCTGCACAAGAAATTGAGAAAGTCAAACACAGACACAGCTGAATATATCAGGCAATAGTGACCATGCTGGGAAAAGATGATAAGCATTTTTCACTGAGTCTTCAAAATCCTGCTTCAGCTTCAGTCAGTTGGCCTCAACTGGCAGAGCCAGGATTTCATCCATCATACTTTGAGTGCTGAAAGCTGGAAAAGCAGGTGGCAGTGAGCACTGATTCTCTTTTAAATAGCCAGTCCTTTCATGCCACTTACACCTGTTGTACCAAAGTACAGTATTCAGCTGCTCCCCACTTTCAGAGGGCTGTGGCAATCTGAGTGAGCCCCTGGGAGCCCTGGTTGCCCCCCACCATGTTGCAGATGGCATGGATGCTCCTGCAGAAAGGTTTCAACTTCAACACCTTCACCTCAGAGCAGCCTTCCAATATCTGAAGGGGGCGTACAAGGATGCTGGAGAGAGGCTCTCCATCAAGTGACTGTAGTGATAGGACAAGCAGTGATGGGTTTAAATTTAAACAGGGGAAGTTCAGGTTAGATATAAGGAAGAAGTTCTTTACTGTGAGGGTGGTGAGGCACTGGAATGGGTTGCCCAGGGAATCTGTGAATGCTCCATCCCTGGCAGTGTTCAAGGCCAGGTTGGACAGAGCCTTGGGTGACATGGTTTAGTGTGAGGTGTCCCTGCCCATGGCAGGGGGTTGGAACTGGATGATCTTAAGGTCCTTTCCAACCCAAACCAGTCTGTGATTCTATGATTCTGTGATTTCAGAAAAGATGCCACATGGTGGTCTCTTGAGGGTTGGCAGCAAAACTCTGTTGAGAACTTGTGACTGAGATTTGGGCACACTGAAGGGCAAGGGATCTTCCTGATGCAAGTCCCACTCCTTGACCCTATCCCCTGGCCATTGCCATCATATAATCCTGCCCACTAACAAGGAGCTTGGTTGGTATTTACCGTCAGAGCTCTTTACGTTTTGCTGCAAAGGTATCTGAAAAAGAATATAAAACAATTTAAAGTCATTCTAAGGCCACTTTATTTTGGCAGGCTCAGTAAGGAAGGTTTAGTTTAGGAGAGTCTCCTCTCCCAAGAAATTGAAGTTATTTTGAAACCCCATGATTTTGTAAGCCCGGCTGGCCCTATTCTTCTCCAGTTGCAGGGATGTGATTAGGCAGTCTCACAGTTTAGCATCAGTGGAGTTCCCCATGTTTACACATGTGCAACCAAAAGCAGGATTTGGTTAGGCAATAATTTGTCATTTTAGAGTGGTTTTAAAGATTCAGGTTCAAGCGTTTCCTCTTTGCTTTCTCTTCTGAAACCTGAGGTCTGGTTTGAACTTGACATAGTTGCTGAGGCCTCTAATCAAAATACAGCCTCCAAATGTATCTTGCAGGAAAAAAGGAAAGCAAATGGATTTCCATCTGCAAAACAAAGAGCAGTGATGGAAGCAAAGGCAGACATGCTGTCCTGCAGATGCGGAGGGCTTGTTCCCGTATGCTATGCTGCCTCTCCTTGCTGGATGCTTCCCTTGGTTTTTATTAGGAGGGTATTCTTTCCTTCCACACTTGGAATTAGAGTGATTTCTCTTCCCTCCTGCAAGTAATATTCTGCCTTAGTTGTGTAATTTATCATCATTCTCTTTGGCTTACTATCAACTGCTGGGATCTTAACACAAGAAACAGAAGCACTTAAAAGCAAAATTACTTCTTTCTGCTACAGTTTGGGTGCTGGGAAGCTCTGCTTTTATATCAGTGAAACACAGCTGGAATCCTCACTGGAGTTCACCAAATGCTTAGAGATCTCTCCACTGAGTCCCGAAGTATCTCTTGGTTAAAACTTCTTAGTTTAAGTCTGGGTAAATCTGTTAAGTGCACCCAGGCCCGATTTATGGAGGGGGCAGAACAAAAACTCCAGCACTGCTTGCCAGGGATGCTCCAGTGCCTTTGTGTGTCCTTCCCCTGCTCCAGTCCACCTCTGCTCAGCCACTCTCACACACAAATGCTAAGCCAGAAGTCAGTAATGTGTGCATGTGGAGAAGGGGCTAAGAGCCCCAAAGGAGAAGATTTAAATCAAATCCCCAGCTGGCCTTGTCATGAAGGTGTAGGTAGAAAAATCCCTCTGGGCTCTTTCCCAATGGACCATCCTACTAAACAGTGTGTGATTTACACCTCACATAGAAGGAAGAAATTCTTTACTATGAGGGTGGTGAGGCACTGAAATGGGTTGCCCAAGGAAGTTGTGAATGCTCCATCCGTGGCAGTGTTCAAGGCCAGGTTGGACAGAGCTTGGGTGCCATGGTCTAGTGTGAGGCATTCCTGCCCATGGCAGGGGGGTTGGAACTGGATGATCTTAAGGTACTTTCCAGCCCAAACCATTCTGTGATTCACATGAGGACTTCAGCCTGGGCTCACCTGTCTGTTACCCTTCCCTGCTTTACTTTACTGGTACCAATGTGCTTTTCCTTTGTAACTCATTTTCCTCAGCTCCTTCCCCTTCTTTTTCTTTGCTTGCAGCTTTGATTGTTGATTTTTACCTCCAGAGTCACAGAGGCCATCTCTGATGCCAACAGCAGTGCACTTGCTGGGAAAGCAAACAAGCAAACCAAAATCCAGAAAACCTCCAGCTGGCCCCTTAGCCTGCAGAAGAAGTTGTTGAGGACAGGCTGCCCGTGTGAACTCTGCGAGCTGAAAGTCAGTATTGTAGTGGCAGGGGCTTCTGTTGCTGATTTTGCATGTGACTTCATTCCCAGTACATCCTAACTTTCTGCTGGATCACCCCTTCTGCAGCATGGAATGGATATTGGCCCCATGGCACGGCTAAGTGGGGAAGTAGGAGTATAGGGAAAACCTGTCAGTGATGCTTTCCTGAGACTGTGTTACTCTGCTGGTGATGTTTCTTTTGTCCTGGTTGCTATTGTAGAGGTTCCATTAGAGTAGTGGGTACAGAAAAAAACAAGTAGGATTTTGCCTCTGCCTTGTGTGTCTGTTATGGTTGTGGTGCTGAAATAAAACCAAGCAGTGATAGAGGTTCGTTCTTGAAATGAATAAAACAACAGAAAGGGTGTCAGCCCACTGGTAGACACCTCCACGTAGTTCTGCAGTAGGGATTAGTGGTTTCCACTGTGTATGTGTCCTCCATACCTCCACAGTGATTGACCGCATTCTTATTATAACCACTTCTTCTCCCCTGCCTGGCCCTGAGGGACTTTGAGGCTTGTCCAAAGCTTTTCCCAGGCCCAGGAGCCAACACAGCCCTTGATCTCTGACTTTTCTCCCCAAATCCTCTGCAAACCAGAACATGGACCTCCAGGGTGCCCTAGAAATGCAGTGGAGCTGATCGTCAGGCTTCCCCTTCCTTAAGTGTGACCATATTTTTAGGGAAACAAATCCCCAAGGAAAGCCAGATCGCTTCCAGCCATTGGCAGCCAGCGAGAATATTGTCCTTTGATCTGAACTTGGCATTGGCTCGATCAGATATAGGGAAACCTGTGCTGTTATTTCCCCCTGTGATAACAGTTCCAGGCCTGAGCAGCACTGGGTGAGCACTGCATAAAACCACCAGACTGACTTTGCCAACAAGATCATGCAGACTGTAACCTGCTGCTTTTGCTCTTTCCAAAGAGCCAAGGGATTCATCTACTGGCAAAATAAGTTTCTAGACTGAGCCCTGAGGTGCAGAAGTAGCTTCCTTTCAGTGTACAGAATTCAGTGGGATTATTTACGTTCTTTATCCCATGCGTATTTATCCATCTGAATTGGTGCCTGAATGCATCCCAGAAATTATTCATGGGAAGGGAGTTTTGCCTTCATTATCATGCTTATTTGCACCAGAAACTTGATGCTAAGTGTTACACTCATTCAAGCAAAAAGTGGAAACACACAGAGACGTTGGTATCCAAGGAAAACGGCATCAAAACCAAGCGTGGAGGATTAGTTGGCAGATCCCTGCCAGCAACGGCTGAGTGAGGAAACAGCAACCTGCTCACAAACATTGCATGAACAGCTTCCCCTGGTCAATCAGGCATTCCATATTTCCGGCCCAGCAGCAAGTTTTACACAATCCCTGTAATTTTACCCTGCATCCCTGCAGCTGAGTCCTGCCTTCCCATCCTGTCCGCTGGGGTGGTTTGGTCTCCGTGATGCACGTGTGTGCATGTATGTGTGTGTGTGCGTGTTGTGGCCCCAGGGATGACAGATCCCTCTGGTGGGAGATCAGGAGTTGGTTCAGGGTTTTTGGCTTGACTTTGCATGGTTGGGTCAAAGCTGTGTAAATAGTTTGTAGGGCAGGATAAAGGATCTTTAGCCCAGACTCTGGTTTTCAAAACCCCTTCCCACCGCGAACTGTGCCACTGGTTTGTTCAGGTAGCCATTTTTTAGCCCCTCTTCGTAAATGATAAGGTCAGAAGAGTGGCTCTTACATTTTTTCCACGCTCCAGAGTGGAATCAGGGCATGTATGCTCACAAGCATTGTGAAAAAAATCACTGCTGAACTAATGATGACACAAATGTCCAATAAATGCATGATACTGCACTGCATGTATTAAACTGCTGTTCACTGTTTCTGTATTTCCCAAGCCTTTTCTTTATTCACCTTCAACCCAACCTTTTCTTTGAGGGGTTTACTTCTACTTTTTGCTTTTAAATGACTCAATGTATCTGTAACTCAAAATCCATCTTTAAGTTTGAGTAAATGCAAAAGCTGATGTTTTGTAAACAAGATAGTGCAAAGCCTGGTAATGTATTTTGTCTTTCTGTTGAATGCTCTGCAGCATGTACAGGAAGAGTCACCATCCAGAGCAGCTTAAAACTATGCAGCAGTCATGTACACGTCTAGAAACAGGGAGTCGGGGAGGGGAGGTTCCCTTTTTGAATATAATGCTTAAAAACTTGATCTGCGTCAAAAATTCCTTCCTTGGGCTGCTAATGCTCAGGATTACCAAGAAGCATGTTGGTGTGTCTCTTTGTTTTCTCTTTTTTCCTTTGTCTTGTTTTTCTTAGTCAGAATTTAGACTGGTCCACTCAATTCTTAGTATTCTTTCTTTTCCTACAAGATGGTTCTTTCTCACCTGTTGCAGAATGAACTGCATTTTGGGGACCAAGATGCTGTGATTCTTTGCCTGCACAAAATAGGGCAGAGAGCTGAGCTAATTATCCCATCCTTTCCAAAGCATCACCACTAACACACTAGCATTTGATCCTTGAATCTCCATGTAGCACCACCATTTATCCATGGAAGTGTTTGATATGGTATTTTTCTTTCTTCCACATGTCCTTGCCTCCTCTTTCCTTGATCATTGACACATTTTAATTTGTGCTGGTCTTCCTAAGGCAGGGTACAGGATGGCCACATGGTACTTACTTGTAGTAGCTCTGGTCCAGTCCTCTCATGGGTATCAGCAGGGCAGTGGTCCCAGCTCCTAAGTGGTTGCTGTGTTAGTGCGGGAAATACTCAAGTTCCCAGTACTCAAAGCAGAGTCATCTGAAAGGGCTGCAAAATTGCTCTGGATTCTTGGCAAGGACATGACAAGCAGAAGGGCTGGAGAGAAAGCATCATACTGGTGTCATAGGGAGCAAGTATCAGTCCTTGGGAATTATGCAAGAACTGCTCCATGGTGGCTGAAAGAACCAAGAAGCCTTGAGCCCACCTTCAAGGCTGGTGCTCAGCCAGGATGCTGTGCCATTGCAGAAGCACTGCATGGCAGCAGGAAAATCATCGTTATTAATGGCTGTAAGTCAGCCTGAGTTCAGGTTGCTGAGGCAGCACGTGGTGCAGGGCTCCATGAAGAGGTGGATGTGTGCTGTGGTTCTGGGTGGGTGGGAGCTTCGAGGGGTGTGCTCAGAGTAGCTCTGAGCTTTTCCATCTGTCATCTGCATCCCCTGAGCAAGCATGGCATCACTCATGCAATGTCTTACTAGATCAAGCTGTAGCATGACCCCCAAAATGAAGAGCGTGGAAGGTTGTAGCTCAGTAGGAGATACAGTGTGACTCATGTTTCTGGTCAACACAATGTCAGTGTCCTGTCGTACACTGGCCCCTAGTTAAGAAACAGCATTTTGGTCAGTTTGGACGTTTTTTAGACAGATAAGTTGATTTGGGTCAGCAAACAATGAATAAAAGCCTGGTCTGCCCAGAGTAGTGACTCCCCAGATATCCCCAACAGCAAAACATCTTGGTTTCACTCAATGAAAACGCAAGCATGTTTTCCACAAAGGCTTAAATCTTAATCAAGGAATGTCAGTGTGCCTAGTATTGCAGGTCTTGTGATTGATACAAGTTCATAACAGCATCCATGTCCAAAAAGAAGGGAGAATGTGTATTTACTCCGTGCATGTTTTAAGGCATCGCAAAAGTTTTATCTGCATAATGAGTTTGCAATACTGCAAATTGTTAATGGGGCTACGTTGCAAGTGGTTCTCTGCCTTGACAATCATGTATACATATCGAGATTTCTATCATGATGACAATTTAAAGGGATGAGTAATTGTTTTCCTCTAATAAATCCAATTAAATCACCTTGATGTGAAGTCTGATGTTTTTGAGTGCCTGAGTCTCCATCCACATGCAAGAAAGGGAGTGAATCATTCCTATGGCTGCTCCATTGCTCCATTGTATTTTATGCAACAATGTCCCTTCATATCCCAAAGGAGGGTGGTGAGACTTTTTCTCCCCAGTTCACTCCATAGGGAAATGGATAAAACAGATTTTTCCCTTCAGGTGTTTTGTAAAGCTGCTGTTGGAAATGATGCTGAGTGTCAGCATATGGAGATGTGGCTGTCTCATGGGCATTAAGAGTGTCTGTGTGGGGCTAGGGAAAGGAGATGCAGTTGTTGGAGACTTCCTTTGCCTTTGAGCTGGTCATGGTGACTTACACAGCCTGTGGTGGGAATCATGAAAGGAGGCAGGATTTGTGCTAGTGTTTCCAAGCCCCTTTGCATTCAGCAGTGGCCTCCAAATGCTGTTGTGTGTGCTCCATCATGGGCTTTGTTTTCCTTCAAACATGTTCCCAGTGTGCTATGACTTGCTTTTTTATGTTTCCCTCTTATTTAAATTTTCCCCACTTTCATTTCTGCTTTCCTTGCTGTCACTCACTGACACACAGGAATTCCTTCCCCTTTAAAAATAGCTGGAAAAATCACTACACCCAGACGAGTGTCGTTGGGCACACAGCTGGGAGGTGGGCCCATGCTTGAGGTCAAAGCCAGGTGATTTTAGGAATCTGGTTCACTAACAGAGCTGAAACAAGCAACAGTGATAATGGGCAACTCACAGCAATAAAAAGGTAAATGACTTCTATAGTTTTTTACAATGTAAATGAAGAAACAACCACCAGAACCAATCTGATTACTATTTCAGAGCTGTGGTATGCAACTGTGGCCACAGAACTAAGATTAGATGCTGGGCTGTATCAGAAGAGAGATGACCTCTCATTTTGCTCTGGAAAAGCACATCCATGGGAAGCTACATCTTTGGAAAAGCACATCCCTGTACAGAAAGACTGGCAGGGGGTGTGTTGGAGGTGGAGTGTGACACTGAGGCACAGACACATGATTTGCAGTGTCAGGAGGAGCAGCAGATCCTGTAGAAAGACCCTACAGTTTTCCCATATGACACAAACTTGAATTCTGACCATCCCTTCATATTCAGGACTATACTCTCACCTGTGTAAGTCAGTTTGGTTCAAATTCTCCCTGTTTGGCTCAAGTTCTGCAGACTTATGGTAGCTGAAGGTCTATCCCACATTTCACTATGAAATTAAGATCTCAGCCAGAAAAACCTTCTCTTGTCCTGATTTTACAATCAGGAGCTCCTCTGTAGGCTCAGTGGTCACCCAGTGTGCACTAAACTTTTCCTAGCTTCCATTGAGACAGGGCAGAAGACCACAGGAGCACTGAAATCCTGGTGCTCTAAGATGGGCTCTTGATGTCATGTTCAGTATTTAGTTGATCTTTGTGTTTTTTTCACTGTTATGAGCTCAGCAACAAATGAGATAAAACGTCAGTACAGACAAGCCAAAGGGACAAGACCAAGATGCAGCTACAGAAAATACACTTACAACCTCACCAAGATCCACAGACGTGTTTGCAATGAAGGGAAGGGGACCGTCCTTATTTTGAAGGTTTTCTGGGTGTTGGTATACACTGAGGCTGTCGCTTATGCCATACCACAGTCTTTCTTCATGCTATACCAAGCTCATTTCTCAGCTCCTTTGCTCTTAGGCACTATCCCTTAGCAGAACCAGAGCTCCAATGGGCATCATTAGGCTATGGGCAGCTCTTTCACAGTCAAGAGCTTTGCATGAGTGACAGCTGTTGAAGCAGAGCATGTACAGGTGCCCAACTTCAAAGGCCATCCAACCTGAGCAAGGATAGACCCCCTGTGGTTTAGGGCCCTCATGGCCAGGTGATGCTGAGAGGAGACATTCTGCACACCACTTGTTTCCTTGCAGTGGACACAGTGCTACAGTTTGTCTGGTTATGCCTACACAGAATTTCATCCTTAAAGCAAAGCCTATTCCCAAGTTTATCTGTGCAGCCACAAACCCATATTTTCAAGTATGATTTTGTGAGGATCCATTTGGAGAATTCATGAGGAGAGAACAAGGACCTGCGCTGCCCCAGCACAATCCCAGGACACTGTAAGCCACCACAGGGACAAAGGGGACATGCTGTTCCTATTGTGTTACTCTTCCTCCCACCTCTGGACAACCCTCAGGGAAAAGGTCCACCTTCACAGCTGTGAATGTGGCCTGCCCAGCACATCTGAGTCCCTGTTTTGGTGGGGCCTCTCAACAATGCTGAGTTACTGTGATGATAACCGTTTCTTATAACTGTGGGGGTGGGCAAGAAGGACCATCTGGATCAGCACTGTAAGTATTCAATTGAGTATTTCCAGATTGTTTGGCATTTGGGCTCTCTGGATTACATCGGAATAAATTCCTGACTTCCAAACTCTGTTTACTTATCCTGAATTCAAAAGTTTCCTTTCTTTTCTTTCTTTTTTTTTTCTTTTTATCCTTGCATTTTTTCATTTTATAGTTGAAATACTCTGATAAAGTTGTGGTCAATTAATGGTTCGTTTACCTTCTTTATGAAAGTGTTTTCTTTAAGGAAACTAATAATAATAACAGAACTGAGAGGCAATTTGGTGTTCCCATCAAACTCACGAGCTTTATGCTTTCTTTGGCGCCATGTAGGCTTTTGTATGTTTTTCATTTTCTTCCTTTAGGGCAGAAGGAAGAGCTATGTTCACATCCATGCCTCAGCTTGCAGTCTAGCAGTGACCAGAAATGCGTAATACATTTCAAACACACACTTTCTGCTAGATGCCAGCTAGGCAGGTACCCTCCATACTGGAAAGTCACAGATCACAGTTGTAGCAGAGCTCAAAGTAGCATCTGAAGTGTAACTTTCTCTCCCAGTCTCTGATCAACCACAGCTCGGCATAGCACTTAAGTGAAGGTCAGTATGGGTCTGTCATGGTTAACTTTGGTGGCACAGTTTTTCCCCACGGTGGATCAGGGATTTTAAGTGCTGTGCTGAGCTGCAGTGGATCAGATACTGGGATGGAAAGTGTAACTTTGGTGATGGGAGTTGATGGATAAACTCCTGTTCTCAACAGATAGAACATAGGTATGCGATGGACACATACTACAGTTGTAATATATGTAATACCATACAATGCCATTTACCAATACAGTATATATTATACTAGATTATACTATTATAATATCTCTGTCAGACCAAAGCATAGGGGTAACATGGCATAAACTGAAGATTTGGGACTAGGCTACTATGTCTTTCAGTACTCAAAACAGTAGGATTTTATCATGTATTTCAAGCATGGAAAGAAGAAAGAGGACAATCTTTCAGGTACTTTCTGGTCACAATATTTAGAGAAGGAATTCAGCTATGATCAGGCTAGGACTGAATTCTTAAGACAGTGTTTAACTTTACTGCCACCAAACATGTCAACACCAGAGTCCACTGCTGAATCAACTTACTCTCTGGTTGTGGGCTTCACCAGTCCAGGGCAACATTTACCAAGCCTTTGCTAATAAACCCAAATAGTTAAATCCAGGTTAATTAAACATCCCAGGCAACAAAAGAGGAATTCAGATTTTCCTTTAAACCTTCACCCTCTGTTTTCCTTCTTTTTTTCTATGGAGAAAATGACCATCTGTGCAAATACGTATTGATAAAGTCAGCAGTCTACATGCTTTCCTCAAGGACAACTTGCCACAACACTGCTAGAGCATCATTTGGGGTAGAGAAGTCACATTATGCATCAGGTGCCACATGTTTTGAGTTTACCAATGGTTCACATTAAAGCTATGGACAGATCCAAATGTTCAGTAATTCCACTGGAAAAAAAGACAAACACCTTCAAGCTGGGGTTAAGAAGGATCTATTAGCAGGACACTGGAGGGCTTTCCTTACCTGTGCAAATAAGGTGGTGACAGACAGTGAGATGATTTAGCTCCAAATGTGGCTGAAGAGATGGGCAAGGTCCTGACATTTGTGCTTGGAAGTCACCATGTCCAGGGCTACATACAGCTAGCACATGGCCTTGGAGGGCTATTTTGCTGTGCACCCAAGCAGTGCTCACCAGCAGGCAGATGTATCTGTATCGGGCTGTGCCCATCACTACGAAGTTGGTTCTAATAAGATGAGCTGGGGATGTCAATTGGAAAGTATTTCATTCTTTAAGTTCTCCTGTGGCAATTTTAATACAGTAATTCTGTTTAGCATCAGCCTCATAACTTGTTTTGATTATCTATGGCCTTATGGTGGTGATTTAAACCTAATGATTTATTGATTCAGTCTTAATTGGGTCCTGAAGTGGGTCATTGCATCATTCTATCTTTAATTGCTTTAATGAAAGTCTAGCAAATTAGGCTGGTAATATGATTGCTTAGAGGGATTTTCACCTGTTCATGCTTCTTAATGAAATCCACAAAAAAGTGAAAAGGGAATGAGCTTATCCTACTGAATTGCCACTTGTATCATGGAGTCTGATTGAAACTCAGAAAATCAATCTGCAGTGTCGTTCTTCCTCCAAATACATTGCTCACAAAAAGAAAACTTAGCACATCAGAAAACAGAAAAAGGATGGATGGAAGAAAATAGCAAACTGTGAAACTAAAACCCGGGTTCCAGTTCCTGCCTTTGATGTTTCCTTTGACTTTGCATGCAAGTAATTTAGGAGACAACCTAAAAACCTACTTAGATCCCAAAAATGAACTTCAGCCCAATGCTACAGCACTCTCTGGGAATCCCTCCTGCTCTGGTAGCCCAAATCTCTGTGGGTTTTTAGGTCTTTTATCATGTCACAAAAAGTTTGTCTCTTCTTTCCCAGCAGCCTGGTGACCAGATGAACATTCTGGGCAGAGGACTCAGCAGTACCTGTGGAAAGGGTCATTCTCTCCTTCCTGTCTTCCATGGCATCCTGCCTGTTGCCTGCACAGGTCCTTACAACCTCTTTCCCCACTGGATTTCCAGCAAGGCTGCTGCATC